CGCCCGTCCGAGCAGGCGGCCGCGCCGACCCCGCGCCGAGCCGCTCTCCCTGGGTATCGCTCAGACGTGTGCATGTCATCTCGGCGGGGATTATTAAGGAGCATCCTGGATCATCCTGCGGAAAAGCCACGCGCAAAACCGAAAAAAACACGGGGAATGGACGTCCGAGCGACGGGGAGCTCCAGGGCCGCGCGCGCGCCGGGCGGGAGGGTGCGCGAGGCGGCGGGAGGCGGAAGGCGAGCCGGCCGGGGGGAGCGCCGGGCGCTTTCCCAGAGCCCCGGCGTCATGATTTTTTCAGGGCGTCGACCCTCAGAGGTCTCTCATCGACGATAGGGGCGAAGAGCCCAGGAGCATCCTGGATCATCCTGCGAGTAGGCCGCGCGCGAAGCCGAGAAAAGCACGGGGAGTGGACGTCCGAGCGACGCGGAGTCCCCCGTCAGGCTCCCTCGGCCCAGCCGGCGGCGGGCCTCCCTGCTCTCGAGGAGGGGCGGCCTGCTGCCCTGCAGGGCCCGCCCGTGCCCAGGCTGCAGGCCTCGTTCGGACTGGCCTCTTTTCCACCACCTCTACCACAAGTTGGAGGAGGGGGGGTCCTCCTCCTCCTCTCCTCCTCCTCCTCCTCCTCCTCCTCCTCCTCCTCCTCCTCTTCGTCCTCCTCCTCCTCCTCCTCCCCCTCCTCCTCTTCGTCCTCCTCCTCCTCCTCCTCCTCCTCCTCCCCTTCGTCCTCCTCCTCCTTGTCCTCCTCCTTCACCCCTCCAACTTCTGGTGTGGTGGTGGTGGTGGAGAACAGGCCCATCACTTTCGGAGGCCCGCGCGGCTGCCTCTGGGAGCCGGCGCTGCAGCTCCCCCCCCCCGGCTTTAGGTCGGGTCTGTCCACCTACAGGGGGATTTTGGGCGAAGCATTACAGCTTCAGGTCGGGCCTGTCCACCTACAGAGGGGCTTTGGGCGAAGGATAAGAGATCGTCAAAACATACGTCCAAGATTGTCCCACATGCTACGAACAGCGTCCCCGGGCTATGTTTTGACTGCTTTTGAAGATTCCTCATGTAGAGGGACAGGCCCGACTTGACCCCTGGCCGCGCGCCGCCCGCGCGCGGCCCCCCTCCCCGGGCGCGTTTTTAGTTTTTGTTTTGTTTGTTTTGCTTCGCCTGCCGGCGAGTGGGGCCCCCAGCTCGGGCCGGAGCGAAAGGGGGGGACAGGGAAGGGGGGGGTTACGGAAGGGGATGACGCGCTTTGTTTTGTTGTGTTTCGCCTGCCGGCGAGAGAGAGGGGCTCCCAGCTCGGGCCGAGTGAAAGGGGGGGTTAGGGAAACGGGAGGGGTACGAAATCTGCGGCAGGAAGCTGGTTTCGGCCCCACCGAGGGGCCCATTCCTCGATACATGGCCGCCTCCGGCGCCGGGAGGCGCCGGGAAGATCAGCCGCGCGAGCTGATTCTCACACCGTGCCCTCTGCTATGCCCCCCTTGTCGCCCGACCCGGCCAGCGCCGATTCCCGAGAAAGCTTGCGCGGACTGCCCCGAGCGTGTGCACGCGGGTCGGTGAAGGTGGGTGTTTTGGGGCTCCCAGAGCCCAGTCTGCTTCAAGCGCCCTCCTGCCTCAAGGGTCCATGCGCTCGGGCTGTTGTTTGTCATGTTCTGGGCGGGCCCGAACCCCAATCTACTTTGTCTGCCGTCCTACTTCATGTTTCTACCTACTTTGAAGTCGGGCCTCTCCCCCTACAGGAGGAATATTCGAAAATAGAAAAAATTGTCCGGGGACGATTTTTGGGAGTATTTTTTTACAATTTTGGAGCATTTTTTGCGTATTTTGAATTTTTCGTCGAAGATCCCCCTGTATAGGGGGACACGCCCGACTTAAACCTACGTCTTTCGACCCGCGTGTGTGCTTGTGCCGCATGTCTTAGTTCGGCGTCACCCCGACGTGCCAGAATGCCGCGTGTGCGGCGCCCCCCCGCGCCTGGGGCGACCGGCGCCCCCGGGAAAAGCCTTGTACTTCTACCATGCGCGTCGTGGTGGGCACAAACATAGCTCTCTGGAAGGTCAGGGTCTGGCCGCACCGCTCGGGAAGCGGCGGTGTGCCACCGAGATGGGCCTGCTGGATGTTCGGGGCGGGCGCGCGCCTCCAAGGGGGGACATCTGCAGCGGCCGGTATTATAGGGGGCCTCGTGCGAGCCCCACCCCTGCCCCCCACGATTTCTGAGGGGGAGGGTGGGGTTCACTTCGCTCGGGAGGTCTCGAACGAAGTGAACCCCACCCTCCCCCTCGAGAATCGTGGGGGGTATACGGGTCGGGTTCGCATGTGGTGGCCCCCTAGGTATGCCTCCGTGCGCCCCATGCTCGTGCCCTTCCGGGCCCGGGCGAGCGACGGGGGGCAGTGGGAAGGCGAAGGCCTTCTCAGGAGGCGGCCCCGGGACTCCTTGCAGGCCCCCTCGCGCCTTCCGAGAAGCTCCCGGCGTCCCCGGTGGAGGCTCCGCGGAGCCTTCACCGGGGAAGGCTCCGCGGAGCCTTCACCGGGGAAGCTCCGGTGAGGCTCCCGGCGCCTTCCGAGGAAGCTCCCCGCGGGGAGCTTCCTCCGAAGGGCGGGGGACTCCCCGGCCTTCTGAGACGGCCCGCGCTCCTTCCCGCCTGCCCTCCCGGGCTCGCCGCCGACGGGCGCTCCTCCGGGCCCAGGCGGAGGCCCGAGGGGAGCAGGGGGGCCGCCCGGCCAGCGTCCCGGCGGTGGTGGTCGGGCCTGCGCGGCCGGGGTCGGCCAGGCGGCGCCTGGACGTCGACTACACAGCGCCGGTTTTAGCACATGCTCCGCGTGCGGACCATATATTAAAGATAAAGGGATTTATGATTAAAAGCCACGATGAATGTATGCTTCATTTATTTGTAGATTAATCATGTATTAAAACCCAGTGGCCTTTCGCCAGAGGGGCCTTCTGGTGCAGGCACGGCTGGGCCCCCGGATGGCCGAGCGCGAGGTGATCATCAGCGGCGGCTTGGGCGCTCGAGCTCGGCCTCCCCGCGGCCACGAGAACCCGCCGCTCCAATTTTTTTTTCCGGGAGCGCCGGATCTCTGGGAGGGGACGGAGGGGGCCGGCCACGCACAGTGGAGGGTCAGGGGGAGGGGGGAAGGCTTCTTGGGAGCCCCCCTGCATCTTGGAGGGCGCGGGCCCTCTCTGTAGACGTAAGCCGTAAGGCCCGCGCCTTTTAATAGAGGCAGTCTCCTTCTAAGAGGCCTTCCCTCCTCCCCCCTAATCCCCTTGTGCGCGCCGCCGATAGAGGTCACTCCTGC